TCCTTAAAGCCAAAAGTGTACTCTAAGACTTGCTTTAGCTATATCTCACAAATTATCATTATCATTTACTTTAAAATATTTCAGATTTCCGTTATGATGTCATCTTTGACACATGCTTATTTAGAAATGTTAATATTCAGATATTTTTAGAGGTATCTTATTGTTGATCTGTAATTTAATTCTGCTGTCACCAGAATACATTCTGTGTAACATTTTTATGTTCAGATATTGATTGAAATTTACTGATGGCCCAACATAAGGACTATTTTGCCTTAAAGGTTAGAAGTATACAATAGTAAAATTCTATTACCCTTCCCCATCTTTTGTACTATTGTCATGTATTTTACTTGTGTCCAAAATGCACTATTACCATTTTTGCTCTAAGCAAAATGTTTTTCAAAGTAATTTTTCTTCTTTTTCTTTTTATTTTTTTAGACAAGATCTTACTCTGTCACCCAGGCTGGAATGCAGTGATGTGATCTTGGCTCACTGCAAACTCCGCCTCCTGGGTTCAAGCGATTCTCCCACGTCAGCCCCCGAGTAGCCGGGTCTACAAGTGCAGGGCACGATCCCTGGAGAATTTTTATATTTTTTGTAGAGATGGGGTTTTGCCATGTTGCCCAGGCTGATCGCGAACTCCTGAGCTCAAGCAATCTGCCCGCGTTAGCCTCCCAAAATGTTGGGATAACAGGCGTGAGCCACCACACCCAGCCTGCCTTTTACATTTACTCACATTGGTCATTTTGGTTTCTGTGTATTCTTTCTGTAGATCTGAGTTTCTATCTGATATCATCTCCTTTTAGCTTGAAAGGTATTCTTTACATTGTGTTTTACAGTTGAGGTTCGTTGCTGATAAAGTCTCTCAGAAAATGTCCTAATTTCACCCTCATATTTTAAAGGACATTTTTTGTTGGTGATAGAATTTTGAGTTGACAGGGTTTTTTTGTTTGTTCTTCTTTTTTTTTTTTTTTTTGAGTCAGAGTCTCACTCTGTCACCAAGGCTGGAGTGGAGTGATGCGATCTTGGCTCAGGCAACCTCCCAGGTTCAAGCGATTCTCCTGCCTGAGCCTCCTGAGTGGTTGGAATTACAGGTGCCTACCACTGTACCCAGCTAATTTTTATATTTTTAGTAGAGGCGGAATCTCACCATATCAGCCAGCTGTTCTTGAAGTCCTGGGCTCGAGTGATCTGCCCGCCTCAACCTCCCAAAGTGCTGGGAATACAGGTGTGAGCCTCCGCGCCTGGCCAATTGTTTTTGTCTTTCTTTCAGCACTGTACATATTGTTCTGTTGTCTTCTTGTTTGCATTGTTTCTGGTGTGTCAGCTGCTGGTTGTTTTTGTTGTTTCTCTGTGTTTAATGTGTGTCTAGGTATAGATCTCTTTGTTTTTGTCCTTCATTGGACTTGCTAAGATTCTTAATAATGTAAATTAGTATTCACTACCGACTTTGGTAAAATTCCAGTCATTATTTGTTCAAATATTTTTTTCTTCCCCTATTTCTTCTTCTTTTAGGACTCCAAATACATGAATATTTTATTGCTTAACATTCTCCCGTAAGGACCCTCAGTCTTTGTTCTTTTTCTTAACTCTTTTTATCTGTCTGTTCTTCAGATTTCAGTTGTAAACTATAGAAGAAAGGGTTAGCGATTCTGGAAATAGATCAATGGAAAGTATCTGCTATTAATGATATCTAATTCATTTTTTATTTCAGGTATTACCTTTTCAGTTCGAGAATTTCCATTTGGTTCTTTTTGATATTACCTATCTCGCTCCTAAAAATCATATCTACTTGTTATAACCATATTTTTCTTTAACTCCTTGACATATTATAATAGATGCTTCATAGTTGTTGTTTACTAATTCCAAAATCTGGATCTTTTCAGATTTTTTTTTTCTATTTCCATTTCCCTCCTTTGATTACAGGTCACATTTTATTGTTTCCTTGCATACCTAGTAATTGTTTTACTATGTTGAACATTATGATCAATATACTATAGGGAGTCTGGATTAAAGAACATTGAGTTTTGTTCATGTAGACAGTTAAATTCCTGGCAGATTGGCCCCTTTAGCATTGAATCCATCCATCTGTCTGTCAGAGTTAATCGTAGGGCGGGTAACTCCATTCTGAACTTATTCCAAGCGCACAGCTGTTAATCTAGGGTGAGATCTTTATTACTAAGACATAGCCTTCCTGGTGTCTCAGTTGAATGCCTGAGGCCCCAGTGGGGATTTCCTTCCTCTCCTCGGGTGGCATCTCCTGCTGCATGACCTCCAGAATCTTCGGTCAGCACTCAGCCCCATAGTTGCTGCTTGCTTAGGTCTCATGGAATCTGGCCCTTGTTATGAAGCCATTGGCAAAGTATCCTGAGTAAATCCCTACTGAAACTTCTGGGGCAAACCCTCTGCTACTCAGGCTTACAAATTCCAGATGCTTCTACAACTTGGAACAACCATTTCTTCTTCCACAGCTCAGTGAAGCTGTTCTGTTTGGGCAGAAAATGTCCCCAGGCATAAAGCCAGGTCAGTCCCGGGCCACCACCTATATTTCCCGTCTCTTGAGGCTCACAGCCCTGTGTTACCTCTGGTCCAGGGCCTGAAAACAGCTGTCATATGTTTTGCTTGGTGTTACAGTTTTCCAGGGGAGGGCAAGTCCTCTCTCATGGTTGGAAGCAGAAGCCTGGCAGTTGGCTTGTCAGCTGTGTCTTCCTAATTTTTTTTGAAATGGAGTCTTGCTGAGTCGCCCAAGCTGGAGTGCAATGGCACAATCTCAGCTCACTGCAACCTCTGCCTCCTGGGTTCAAGTGATTCTCCGGCCTCAGCCTCCCGAGTAGCTGGGATTACAGGCACCTGCCGTCATGCCTGGCTAATTTTTGTATTTTTGTAGAGATGGAGTTTCACCATGTTGGCTAGGCTGGTCTCGAACTCCTGACCTTAGGTGATCTGCCTGCCTCAGCCTCCCCAAGTGCTGGGATTACAGGTGTGAGCCACTGCACTCGGCATGTCTTCCTCATTAATAATATTCATGGCACTTCATGATATTTTTTATCCTATCTGGAGTATGACTGATTTTATTTCAGCAGATCCTTAATTTCTGAGTTGGCAGTAGAGTTATCATTCACTTGGGTTAACTTCTGTTACAACCCGAGTATCTGCCCAGCCTTTTATTCCACCTCTATACCTGGTCATGTATTACTACTGGTAATACATGAATTACAAGTAGCCCTCCTGGTGCACACAGAGAACTTTGTCTTTTTCACAAATTGGCATCTGTGCCATCTTACCTAATCCTCATTGTTGGTGGCAGATGCCATCTGTGGATGATGGTTCAAGTTGGGCACAGTTGATTTCAGATTTCTTGAAAAGGATCAGCTTAGGCTTAGAGTTTGGTGTTGACATTTTGCTTTTATTTTGTTAAAATTAGGTATCGAATTAATATGCTTTAAAAGTGTGGTGTATTTTCTGTGTGTGGGATTAACAGACTTGTATGTAAGATTGGCTTTGTAAGTATTTACAGATAGTTTGTAGTTAGTAAGGCACGTTACATTCTGTTTCTTTCCTACAGGGGCAGGCTGGTCTCTCTCCTTCCCTCTCTTCTTCTCCCTCACCTGCACCTTTTCTTCTTTCTTTGTGTTTTATGATTGATTCACTTATATTTGCATAATAGCATTTTTAAATTTTTCTTTTTTCTTTTTATTTGTTGAAACAGAGTCTCACTCTGTTGCCCAGGCTGGAGTGCAGTGGCACAATGTCGGCTCACTGCAACCCCCGCCTCCCGGCTTCAAGTGATTTTCTGCCTCATTCTCCCAAGTAGCTGGGATTACAGGTGCACACTACCATGCCTGGTTTAATTTTTGTGTTTTTAGTAGAAACAGGGTTTCACCATGTTGGCCAGGCTGGTCTCGAACTCCTGACCTCAAGTGATCTGCCTTCGGCAACCCTAAGTGCTGGGATTACAGGTGAGAGCCACTGCGCCTGGCCATGTTTTAACTTTTAAAAGTGTGTTCGCTTCTCTCTGTCCCTTTTTTTTCCATTCACATAGCTTGGTTGACAGTCTTGTTGCCTCTTGCCTGGACTGTTATTGCAACAGCGACTCATTCTCTTTCTTCCAGTAGTCTTCTGGCCAATCACTTCTACTGTTTAACCTTCCTTAAGTTGAGTTTCTCCCTCTAACTTGAAAAACCACACATACTGTTCCATATTGCCTTCCATAAGCCTCACCTGCTTCAGCCAGGTTTGGGGTGTTCTTTATTCAGCAGATCCCCCTTCTCCGTACTTCTGTCCTAGCGAGGCCTCCCATGTAGCACCCTTCCCTTCCCTCCTTAAAGTCCCTCCTTCATCGTCCAGGGTCTCTACCACCCAGTGTCCCTCAATTCAAACTGCCCTGAGTTCTCTGTGCAGGTCACAGTTGAATCACAGGTGTCTGGACATATCTAGCTCTGTTTCCCAAGGCGAAACCTATGACTGCGTCACCCTATCTGTTGGGGCTCCTGGTGTCCTCCAGATAGTTGATGCTCTGTAAACATTTGTCATTTCCCATTGATCACATCGAAACCCTGTGATCCAGGCAGAGTGAAGAGATTAAGGCCTCGTGTGTTGAATTATGTTGCACATCGAATTAATGATTGGTACGGATTTATAGTCCACATCCTCTCATTTCATTCTTTTGACAGCCTCTCTGTTCTTCTCTAATTTCGCTCAAAATTACTTTGGTTGGCTCTTAAGTAGAAACTTACATCATTTTATACTTGGGGGCATGTCCAAATTCATTAAATGAGGTGAGAGATTTTTCTTCTCCTTTCTACCCCTCGTTTTGCTGTCCTGGCAGGACACAGCTGCTACCACTAAAGGTACTGGGAGGGCTGAAATGCTGGTCGTTAGAGCTGTTGTCTTGGGTTATCTGGTCTTGACATCACACAAGACTTCCTCAGGTCTGCTGTGTCCTAAGCCTGACTTAGTGTCACTGTATGAACACAATTCTCTACCTACCTCTTTTATTTCAGGCACTTCGTCTTAGTAACATGGCCATGGGGAAGACAACCACAGGCCAGATAGTCAATCTGCTGTCCAATGATGTCAACAAGTTTGACCAGGTAAGCTGCAGTTCAGGGATCCTTTTTCATTGCATTAAACACCCCTCTTCCCCCTTTTATTCTTTGTGGAGACAGGGGCTCACTCTGTTCACACTGGATTGCAGTGGCAGGATTGTAGCTCACTGGAGCCTTGAACTCCTGGGCTCAAGTGATGTGTGATCCTCCCGCCTCAGCCTCCTGATTAGCTGTGACTACAGGTGTGCACTGCCATGCCCAGCTAATTTCTCTCTCCTTTTGAATTTTCATGTCAGATGGGCTAATGTGGCAATGTCATAACTCAATTCAAGGGTGGCACATCTCACACATGTGCATGAACACCTGGCTGTCATGCTCATGAACTACAAAAGGATTGCTGGCTAATTTCTTTTTTTATTATTTGTAGAGAAGGGATCACGCCTTGTTGCACAGGCTGGTCTCAAAATCCTGGCCTCAAGCGATTCTCCTACCTTGGCCTCCCACAGTGCTGGGATTACAGGTGTGAACACCGGACCCACCCAGTGTCCATTGTTTAATACCTTGTGGAGGTATCATGTTATCCAGGGCATTCTAGCTGCTGGCCATGTCCATTTTGCACTAGGACCACTTTATTTTTTTTCTTTCCAATTATTCATTCATAGACACGAACTAAAGCCTCTGCTCAGTGTCAGGGACAATGAATAAGACTTGGTTTCTGTTCTGAAGAAGCTGACCACCTGTCTGGGAGACAAATACACAAGTAAATTACTGGAGTGTGTGGTGGGCACTATAGTACAGGCTTTCTTAGGGTACTGGGGAGCCCCAGGGCATATGGGAGCTGAATTCTGTGGCAGAGAGTTCTGGAAAATGCTCAGCTCATCAGTGAGATAGTCACTGATCAAGATCTTCTAATGCCGCTGGTCAGATTCTCTTTCAGGTCTCCCAGACCCGCTGTTTGTTTCCCCAGAATGGCTTCGTCTGTGGTGGGTGCTTGGATTTCTGCTTTAGCAGGTGTAAACCCACTGTGGTCATTTCTGTTTAGGATTTGCCTGTTCTTTTCCAGCGGATCGTTTCTGTACTGTGTTCTTACTTGTTTTGCTTTTCTAGAGTCCTAAGAACGCTCTGTCTTTCTCTTTAAAGGTGACAGTGTTCTTACACTTCCTGTGGGCAGGGCCACTGCAGGCGATCGCAGTGACTGCCCTACTCTGGATGGAGATAGGAATATCGTGCCTTGCTGGGATGGCAGTTCTAATTATTCTCCTGCCCTTCCAAAGCTGTTTCGGGAAGTTGTTCTCATCACTGAGGTAAGAGAAATACTGGTGTGAAAAATGTCATATCTATTTGGTAACATCCACAGTCTTCCCAATGCTTTTGTTCAGAAACAAACTAAATGCCTTTTATTATCTCTTCTTTGCATATGTTGCAGCTCTTCAGGCTTAGCCAAAGGGGGCCTCCATCCTTATGCTCAAGGCGAATCTTCAAGGGAGAAAGGTGAAGGCATTCACCGACTCCTCCCAGCCAGCTATTCAGGCGCTGTGGCCGCAATAAGTAGAATGTCCTTAAGCAGAAATCACATATGTAGAAGTTAGTGAAACACATAATGAATAACGATAGATTGAAATATTTCATAGGCTCCATTCTAGCTGCATACATCTTTACTGTGCTTGTGTGAGAGTTATTTTCACATGTGTATACAAGTGTGTTATTTTTACTTCAGTATTTCCATTAAATTGTAAGCTTCCCAAAGGCAGGGTGAATTTTAATGATGTATTTATAAAATCACACAGTCCTAGTAGTGTACGTGTTAGAAATATGGTTGTCGGCTGGTTGTGGCAGCTGACGCCTTTGGGAGGCCGAGGCAGGTGGATCACGTGAGGCCAGGAGTTGGAGACCTGCCTGGCCAACATGACAAAACCCCGTCTCTACCAAATTTAAAAAATTAGCTGGGTGTTGTGGTACACGCCTGTAATCCCAGCTACTTGGGAGGCTCAGGCACAAGAACCACTTGAATCCAGGAGGCAGAAGTTGCAGTGAGCCAGGATTATGCCAGTGCACTCCAGCCTGGGTGACAGAGTGAGACTCTGTCCCGAAAAAAAAAAATACAGCTTTTGGTCGAGAGGTTAATGATGATAAAATAAATTAGACTTGAAGCAGGTCCCAGTGAATTGGAAATGAGTCATTGTCAAGGTTGTCAGCTGGATCGAGAGGAGCCACTGTTGGAAGTGCGTTGAGTTCTTTGTTTTATGCTTTTGCTTATCGTGTATTTTCTACTTGGACCTTCCCCTCTTTGCCATCTGGAGAAACAGTCCTTTTCCTTTGAGGCCCCGTTCAAATGCTCCCGGTCCTCTGAAGCTTTTTTTTGCTCTCCTCTTTCCCAGTGGAGTTAACAAACAGTCCTTTCTTTTCTGCTCCCCAGCACTTCATTCTCATTTTAGTACACTCCACCCACTGTGTTACTGTCAGGCGCGGGTGCCTTTCTGCCTTCCCTGCCCACCTGTGAGCTCCTCCAGGGGACAGATTACATCTGACTCATTTTCATGTCTTCCTCAGCACATATTACAAGTTCTCCAAAATACTTATTGAGTTGGGATAGATTGTTGACTTCCTAATCGAAGTCTTTTTCTATTTGTATTTTGAGTAGGACCTGTCTGTGTTGATGGAAGCAAAAGCGCTGTAGGGAACCATGTGATGCAGGTCCCTGCCTGTGCCTGCCGCTGATAAGGGCAGGCTGTGATGGCTCAGGCTCATCTCCTGTGTCTGGTCCCCCTTAGGAGTAAAACTGCAACTTTCACGGATGCCAGGATCAGGACCATGAATGAAGTTATAACTGGCATAAGGATAATAAAAATGTACGCCTGGGAAAAGTCATTTGCAGATCTTGTTACCAATTTGAGAAAGTAAGTTTTTGTATACATTGTACTGTATTTTTGTACTTTTCTATTTGCTATTCTTGTTGAATGGTTTTAGAAGTTTTACTATGTGTTCACATTATGGGAGGTTCAGTACAATCCATCCCGCTCCCCACGTGTGGCAGCTGGGTTAAGTAGAATGGTGGAGAATGTTATTTTCACTTGGTCTTCCATTTACCATGTTCTTAAACAGAAAGCATGTATGCTACTTACTAATACAGAAGTGAAATTCCAAATGTTTCTGAATATCCCAAATCCCAACAACGATTCTAAGATGTTAGTATTTGAGAATAATGGTGTTTAAAATAAAACTATGATTTATATGAATGTAGCCAAATGGACAGGTTATAGAGACTGGGCATATCTATATTGGACCAAACTCTATGAATCAGTATTTTTCATTCCAAACAGGCATGGAAATACTGTTAGCTGTTCTTTGTGTTATTAGAATTTTTGGGGGGTGGCTGGGCATGGTGGCTCATGCCTGTAATCCAAGAACCTTGGGAGGCTGAGGCAGGTGGATCACCTGAGGTCAGGAGTTCGAGACCAGCCTGGCCAACATGGTGAAACCCTGTCTCTAGTAAAAATACAAAAAAACTTGCTAGGCGTGGTGGTGCTTGCCTGTAATCGCACTACTTGGGAGGCTGAGGCAGGAGAATCACTTGAACCAGGAGGAGGAGGTTGCAGTGAGCTGAGATCGCACCATTGCCTGGGCGACAGGAGTGAAACTCCATCTCCAAAAAAAAAAAAAAAAAATGTTTTTCTGGCTTTGGATTAAATATTTGATTAGTTGTTGCATTCCAGCACATGGTACTTCTTACGATTTTCTGGGTAGTTCCTGACCACCTCTCACTTTGCACCTTTTTGTTATTGTTGTTGCCCAGGATGGTCTCAAATTCTTGGGTTGAAACAATTCATCCACCTCAGCTCCCATCATGCTGGGATTGCAGGCGTGAGCCACTTTGTGTGGCTGACATCACTGCTTTTTAAAAACCTGTACTCTCTTCCAGGAAGGAGATTTCCAAGATTCTGAGAAGTTCCTACCTCAGAGGGATGAATTTGGCCTCGTTTTTCAGTGCAAGCAAAATCATCGTGTTTGTGACCTTCACCACCTACGTGCTCCTCGGCAACGTAATCACAGCCAGCCGCGTGTTCGTGGCCGTGACACTGTACGGGGCTGTGCGGCTGACGGTCACCCTCTTCTTCCCCGCAGCCATTGAGAAGGTGTCAGAGGCAATCATCAGCATCCGAAGAATCCAGGTTGGTGTCAGATGCCATTTTAAAGTTGTAGGTGCATTCGAGGTGAAATGATAGCTCCTTTTATTTAGCATCACTATGTTCCAATGTAATGACATTTAACTCTCTCATAACCAGAGCGTACTGCCATTCCACAATGCTGTGTGTACTTCCTTATCTTAGATAGGACGCACTAAAGACAATGCAAGCATTGTGATCATTTATTGGGAGCAACATAAACAGCAGTGGCACAGGGCTTTTGATGTGCAGGTGGTACCTGCAGGTGTGATTAAAATGTTTAAGCTGTCTAAAAGGAGGAAAAGCAAATAGATTTCATCTGTTACGTTAACGCAAATGAGAAAGTAGCGAGTATGAGTTGAGTATGGTTCTTCTGTGGGCTGGAAGGAAAGAGCTTGCTGGAGGTCCCTGCTTCATGGTCAGGAAGAATGGCCTCAACTTCACTTAGCTATCCCTGTTTGAAAATAAGTTCTTTCCTCTGTAGATGTTTTCCTTGTTAATTTTTGGGCATGCCTTTAGGATCTCTGCCGTTTCTTTCCTATCCTCTTTTCACTTTTTTCTTACTGTTGATGAACCTAACTCTACCAGACTTCTTTCTTTCCAATCGGTTGATTTCTACTGCCTTGCTCCGTTTGTACTATTGTAACAAAATGCCTGAGACTGGCTAATTTATACATGTTAGACATTTATTTCTCACAGTTCTGGAGGCTGGGAAGTCCAAGATTAAGGCTCTGGCGTTGGTGTCTGGTCTGGTGAGGACCATTGTCTGCTTCCCAGATGGACCTCTGTGTCCTCACATTGTGGAAGAAACAGAAGGACAAACTGGGCCTGTTTAGTTCCCTCCAGCCTTCTGTAAGGACACTAATCCCCATCAGGAGGGCTCTGCCGTGGTGACCTAATCACCTCTTAGAGGCCTTACCTCTTAACACTGACACTGGGGTGAAGTTCCAGCCTATGAATTTAGAGTAGGCATGCCCATTCAAATCATAGCATCCACTTTACACACCATCACCTTTTCCTCAGTGGCTGTCACTAAATTGCCAGGGGCAAATAATTTATATTACCAAGATAGTCCTGGCACATAATGTATGCACAAGTATTTGTGTGTTTATGAATAAGTTGAAAATTAAAATAAATTGGCTTTGTGAGAGGGTCTGGCAAGAACTTGACTGTCTAAGCTTTTCAAAAATCTGCTTTGTTTTATTCCTGGTTCTTAATAGAAATGGATGCCCAAGGACAGACTCGAGTGAACTTAGCTGACACTGGCTGTGATTATTTTTTATTTTTATTTTTTTGGTTGGGGAGAGAGGGGGGTGGGTGTTGTCATAAAAGCTAAGATTCTTTTTTATGATGAAGTTTGTTTTTTAAAGAAGAGATCTTGCTGTGTTACCCAGGCTGGAGCATAGTGGCTATTCATAGGCAGACTCCCACTACTGATTAGCAAGTTTGTATTTCGTAAAAAATATTACCTCTAAAACAGACCATACAAGGTCAATTCTTATCCTCATTCTTTCTGATAACAGCTTCAGGTAACACTGTGAAGGGATGGTCCATGCAGGTCAATAACACTTTTTTCTTACAGCTTTTGCCTCTTGAAAGAAATAACTTAGAAATACGCTTTGACCAGAGTGTCTTTCTGAGTGTGCGGGACACCTTTTTCAGGTGGAAGGGCCACATGTGTATTGTGCTGCTGTAATTCTCTGACTGCTGTTGCTGCCCCTCACTGTGATTGCAGGCGCTGGTGTGTGTACCGTGAACCAGGGCTCTTGGAAGCCTTTACATGTTATTTCATGTTATCCTCACAATTGAAGGAGATAAGCATTAGTGTCCCCACTTTACAGAGAATGAAACTGGCTCCTGTAATAGGCTAAGGAGTTTGCCTGTCTTAGAGATAGGAATCTGTTCAGAGTCATGATTTCTTAACCATTATTACATTGCCTATTGTATTAGTCTGTTTTTATATTGCTATAAAGAACTTCCTGAGACTGGGCAATTTGTAAAGGAAAGAGGTTTAATTGACTCACAGTTCAGCATAGGTGGTGAGACCTCAGGAAACTTACAGTCTTGGCGGAAGGGGAAGCAGGCACTCTCTTCACAGGGCGGCAGGAAGGAGAAGTGCAAGCAGGGGAAATGCCAGAGGCTTATAAAACCATCAGATCTCATGAGAACTCACGGTCACTAGAACAGCATAGAGGAACCGCCCCCATGATCAAGTTACCTCCACCTGGTCCCACCCTTGACACGTGAGGATTATGGGGATTGCAGTTCAAGCAGAGATTTGGGTGGGGACACAGAGCCAAACTGTATCACCTATGTTGCTGCCTTAGTATCCTCTGGTGTGGGATATTTCCTTCAGTGTTCTTTTACTCATCTAGTCTTACTCCAAAAACCTTGAAAGTTTCTCTGTTTCCTGTGGAGTCCTATTTTTGAACCCTAGGCATAGGGCTCACCTGGCCACATTGTGTGTTTCCCAGCACATGACCCATCTCTGTTCCTGCTTTGGGGTCTTTGGCTCTTTGTGGCTTGAGTGTCCTCCCTTCTGTCCTTGATTTAAGCAAGTGCTACTAAGCCCTCCAGCCAGGTCTCAGGAGCCTGGTGGTACTTTTGTTCCTGCTGAGCAAGGCCAGTATGGTGCAGCTCAGTGCTGATGAACACATAATGGGCACCAAATGCTGGATGGACAGAAGCAGCACCCATAGCAAAAGGCTGGGACCCAATACAGACCCAAGGTGGTCCAGGCTGTACCATAAGCCAGAGGAAGGCCGAGTGAGGAAACAGACTCGAGTTGAACATTCCCAGAACACCGGGCCCTGTTCAAGGGGGTTGTGAGGGTCCTCAGCTCTGGGGAGCTGGATCTTTTTCAGAGTGGACTGGATCGGAGTCTCTGCCTTGTTATGTGTGTCCCTCTGTGCATCTCAAACCCCATTGGACTTGGTCGACCTACTCTTGTAAGAGAGGGGCCATGTCTGACATTAAATGTAGACCCTCCTGGCCGGGCATGGTGACTCACACCTATAATCACAGCACTTCGGGAGGCCAAGGTGGGCAGATCACTTGAGGTCAGGAGTTAGAGACCAGCCTGGCCAACATGGTGAAATCCCGTCTCTACTAAAAATACAAAAATTAGTCAGGCGTGGTGGTGCATGCCTGTAATCCCAGCTCCTCAGGAGGCTCAGTCTTGCTTGAATCCAAAAAGTAGAGGTTGCAGTGAGCTGAGATTGCCCACTGCACTGTAGTCTGGGTGACAGAGTGACTCTGTCTCCCAAAAAAAAAAAAAAAAAAAAAAAGGATCCTCCTGACTGGCTTCCAGGCGGTGAAACAAGTGGACTTTCCTTGGGCCATGCGGAGAAATAGAAACAGTCTTGCTTGGTTAATAAAATTAGTCTGTCTTCCTGGTCATTATGAGATAAATGAAGATTAAGATTAAGACCATGGGGCTTCATATGAACAGGTAATAGCTGGTGAGTACTTACTAGGTAACAAGGAGGGGCCCAAGAGCCTTATGAATATTCACTCCCTTTACTAGTGTAACTCCCCTGTCACTCCTACATTACAGATAAAGAAACCGAAGTCTGGGGAGGGTAAATAGCACCTCCACGTTTTAACAGTTAATAAAAGGCTGATCCAGGGCTTTAGCCCAGGCCGTCCATCTGTCTCAGAAGTGCGGCCATGGCTCACGTCCCAGCACTTTGGGAGGCCAAGGTGGGCGGATCACTTGAGGTCAGGAGTTCTCTATCAGCCTGGCCAGCATGGCGAAATCCTACCTCTACTGAAAATACAACAACAACAAAAAAATTAGCTGGGCATGGTGGCATGCACCTGTAATCCCAGCTACTCTGGAGGCCAAGGCACGAGAATTGCTTTAATCCAGGAGGTGGAGGTTGCAGTGAGCCGAGATCGCACCACTGCACTCCAGCCTGGGTGACAGAGCGAGACTCCATCTCAAAAAAAAAAAAAAAAAAGTGCACAATCTTACCCCCACATGCACAGCATAACCTGAATGCAGATGTCACTTCTGTGTGGCAGCCATAGGAAATAATGGGGCAAAGAGCAGCCCCGACAGGTAGTGTGGGGGGGGTGGGACGTAGACCTCGGGTCCTCACCAATTCTCTGGGCCTCGGTTTTCTTGTCTCTAAATAAGGGGATTGGACTTAGTGTCTGGAGGTCATTTCCTGTTTTGTCTCACTTATTTAGAAAACCATCTGTATTAGTCAGAGTTCTCCAGAGAAGCAGAACCGATAGGGCCCACGTGTATGTACATGCAGAGAGACAGTAGTAGATTGATTTATAAAACTTTCTCACGCATCTTGGAGGTGAGGTAAGTCCACAATCTGCAGGGCAGCTGGCAGGCCAGAGACCCTGGGAAGAGCTGATGATGCAGCTTGAGTCTGAGGAGGACAGTCTTGAGGCAGAATTCCCTTTTCTTTGTAGGTCTTTTTTCTCTTAAATGCCTTCAACTGATTGAGTGAGGCCCACTGACATTATGTAGGACTTCAAAGTCTACAGATTTAAATGCTAATCTCAACTGAAAAATACTTTCCCATGGATATCCAGACATGTTTGACCAAATATCTGGGGACTGTGGCCTAGCCAAGCTAACACATAAAATTAACCATCACATAGTCTTTTTTTTTCTTTTGAGACGAGTCTCGCTCTGTCAGGCAGGCTGGAGTGCAGTGGCACGATCTCAGCTCACTGCAAGCTCTACTTCCCAGGTTCAAGCAATTCTCGTGCCTCAGCCTCCTGAGTAGCTGGGGTTACAGGCATGAGCCACCATATCCAGCTGATTTTTATATTTTCAGTAGAGGCAAGGTTTCACTATGCTGGCCAGGCTGGTCTCAAATTCCTGACCTCAAGTGATCCACCCGCCTTGGCATCCCAAAGTGCTAGGATTACAGGAATGAGCCGCCGCACCTGGCCCATCACACACTGTTTAATCCTCATCTCTTCTTTTGGGATCTCCACAGGTGACTTTGTCCTCATTTTCCCCTTATTATTATTATTAT